GAGAGAGAGAGAGAGAGAGAGAGAACACTAGCTATTGTACTCTGCCCAGTCATGACCAGTTTCTCACCTTTCTGTCTGGCCAGTTGAACTTGGCAAAAACATCGTCGTACATCTGTGTGGCCCCGTCAGTCACAAGCATGATGGCCTGGCTACACACACTGCCATGGCCAGTCTGGTTAAACTACACACAGAGAGATACACACAGTCATCACACAAACACACACAGATTAACATAAACATACACATTCAGGAAAAGAAGGTTGGGGACTTGAGTGTGGGACTGTGTTGCACTTCAGTTGCAAAAATACAGGCTTGTGACTTGACTATAGTTATAGGCAGATTTTAGTTGATTATAGTTCAGATGATTAATTGATATATAGACAATTATCGACTAATCGGTTATTTACTATTTTTCTAATAAGGAAACTCATTGAGTTGAGCCAGATCTCCATCATCATCGGGAGAAAACGATGACAGCTTTTGCACCCTTATTCCAAGGGCCACCCAACGAAAATGTGTTGTTCCGTTACCCAGAAAACGGAACTGCAAAATTTCAGCAACACTATGTAGATAATGTTATGAACATGAATATGGTGTGACATTCAAACTTGTAGAAGTTGCACATAATAAATTTTTCTTTAATCAAAGTCATGACATTTAGCTTTGAAATCACAGAGCATCTTGGGTAATTTCCCTAGCAACGTTCCGACGTTGTTCACCTTGGTTACTTTTGTTGCACACTGGCACACAGAACTATTTGTGTGTTCAGTGTTCGTCCTTGCATCAGCTCAAGCAACACGTTACCTTCACTGATCCAGATTAACCCCGAAATGAGAAAATATGTTTTAACCATGTAGAGTGGTTAAGACATTTTTGGCAGCTGTATAGAGAGAAATAGTAATGGCGTCTTTTTGAAGGCACTGACTCCACCATGGTTCTATATAGCCTAGAAGGGCCATCATTACTCTTGCCTACTAGCATAACTAAAGACAGCATAACATTTGCTAGCTAACACGGCTCTCAAAACAAGCAAGGTCCCGACAGCTAAATAAAGCACTGTTCTGCCATCTGAGAAAAATCAGTTTCAACAGCTTCTTATCTCATATTATTTTGGGATTCCTCCGGTCCGGTACATACGTTTCTTTCTGCAAGCATGGACAACGTAACGTGTGTAAAAATTGTAACCAAGATGTAACATGGCAACCTCATAATGTTGCGAGGAGAAATTATCCAAAATGCGCTATGATTTCGAAATCGTACCTTTGATTTATAATATTTAATTAATGTGCAACTTTTACAAGTTTTGAACGACACAGTGTTTATATTCATAAAATTATCTATTAAGATGTTGAAATTTGCAAATTTGTTTTGTTTCCTGGGTCACGGAATGCCTTTTCAGAAGCTTTTTTTGGTGGGTGGCCTTGGACTACACTGTCTTCACGACAGCCAGCTGACTATCTCCAAAAAGGAGCAACATTTATCCATGGGGCATGTTCATCTCTCCTCTAATCCTACCCCATCTCTGTCTCTGAGGCCTGGGCTAACTCTGAGACAGACCTGGGTTCAAATACTATTGGAAATTATTTGAAATCCTGGGCTTGATTGCGCTTGCCTGACACAATGTAAGCAATATAATAGTCATAAGAAGTACAAACCCTGCCCATTTGGCACTCCAGGCAGGCTAAAGCAAATGCTAAAGATTTCAAATAGTATTTGAACCCAGGTCTGCTTTGAGACTCTGCTTCCTGTCACCTCTGCCTTTGGCCGTGCCTGTATTGACTGTTTTCACTGCTGATGTCTGATGATGTCCGATACTGGTGTCCCGTCAGGGACTAAAACACAGATAATCTCTTTGTAAATAAACTGGGAAGTGCAGCCCACATTAATCTGATGGCAGAAGATGCATTGTGGTAATTAACTGGCTTATTGACCTGTGACAGAGGCAATCTGGAGAAATAGAGCTTTGTGGAGTGAGCGCCATTATCACCATCTAAAAGCTGCTGAGCTGAGCATGGCTCCCAAAACACACCGGCAGCAGCGTTGCAAGAGTGTGTGTGTGGAGACAGACATACGCACACAAACAGGATTACAATACCACACGGACTGTCTCTCTTGACACACACACATCACTCACACATGCACAGTGGTCTCCACACACACTGCGGATTAGTTGACCTTGCTTAGAGCATCCCCTAAAGCCAGGGTAAAGAGTTACTGTAGATACATTTACATTTTAGTCATTTAGCAGATGCTCTTATCCAGAGCAACTTACAGTTAGTGAGTGCATACAATTTTTTATTTATTTATTATTATTTTTTTTTATACTGGCACCCCATGGGAATCAAACCCACAACCCTGGCATTGCAAACGCCATGCTCTACCAACTGAGCTACATCCCTGCCGGCCATTCCCTCCCCTACCCTGGGCCAATTGTGCGCCGCCCCATGAGTCTCCCGGTCGCGGCCAGCTACGACAGAGCCTGGATTCGAACCAGGATCTCTAGTGGCACAGCTAGCACTGCGATGCAGTGCCTTAGACCACTGCGCCACTCAGGAGTACATGTCACATAGATATGTCAAAGAGACCAATACAAACACAGAATATGGTGCAAATTATTTCAATGCTAAGAGCAGTTTTAGAGCTAGGCAGGTTTGTCGGAGGCAGAGAACTGTAAATAAGGCAGTATTGGATCAAACTAACAGCATTCAAAGCCTGTCCACCACGGTGAACTACACAGAAAAATAAAGATATACCACCCAGATAGACCATAATGTTGACCATAATGTTTAGAACAGATTCAGGGTAGAATACATGATACCATGGTAGGATATGAGTTTTGACAAATGTGGAGATTATGGGAACATGGTGATGATCAGTATTATTGTCAAGGTGTGTTTGTGATCAGACCACAGTGCTGCTTCTAGCAGAGAAACACACAAACACCTCTAGGCAACCCTAGTCTTGATACATCACTCCAGAGCTAATCAATTGCTTTCTACCTTCGATCTGCTCTGCTAATTTTTTTTTTTTTTTATTTCACCTTTATTTAACCAGGTAAGCCAGTTGAGAACAAGTTCTCATTTACAACTGCGACCTGGCCAAGATAAAGAAAAGCAGTGCGGTAAAAACAACAACACAGAGTTACATATGGAATAAACAAAACGTACAGCCAATAACACAATAGAAAATCTATATACAGTGTGTGCAAATGTAGTAAGTTATGGGATAGTATAGAGAATAAAATGGGCCCAGCCCAGTTAGAATCCATCCCGTCCATTCACCAAGGTGGTAGCCTAGAATAGCAATGTATTTCACACTGAGCCTATTGGCCGCCTGATTACCATATTAATTGCACTAAATTTAATTAATCAGACAAATGCAGACGTTGAAGCCGTGCTCCCGGGGCCCGGTACGGTGTGGAGCAGTGCGACAGACTGCTAGCCTGAAAAAAGAGAGATAAAAGGGGAGGCTCCCGGTCTTATCTCCACCGGCTTTGTGTTCCGATCATCCTCCTTATTAATCAGTACTGTTAATTACAATCATTAATCACCCTTCAGAATAGATGTGCCTGTGTTTGCAGGGTGGAATGGGGGATACCAGGGATTGCGGCGAAGCGTTTTGAACAGTAGACAGGGAAGAGACGCGCTGTACTCAGAGCTTGAGAATAAGTAGTTACACCTTAATGGAGTGTACTGATGCTGCTCCATTTAAATCACTCAATTAGGTTGGGAAGTGAAAACTACTGTGCCTGAACTAATTGCCTTTCTACTCTAACTTCTCTGGCGTGGACCCAAGTGTGTTTACGTATTTGTTGTTCAATCAAGTAAAAAGTAATTCTGGAATAAAACCAAAGTCTGAGACACATTTGAAAACCAATTTTTGTTTAAAGTTCTACATTTGAGACATTTGTTGAGGTGAATATTACATTATGTGTGATGTTCATGATATGGATACACAGACACAGTACATGTAACATCTAACTACTGTATATTTGTTTGTGCAATATCTGTGTTGAATGAATAAACAAATGAATGAATGAATGAATGAATTAATTAATTAATACAGGGTTAAAGTCCGAGGCTGAACTTACATCATTTAGAATGGTGAATGCTTCGGTAAGAGCATCACCCAGCAGACCAATCCCTTTGGCAAACAGCTTGTCCAGATGTTCTCTAAAATGCTAACAGATAACAAGGAAAGAGGTAAACATACAGTATGATTTGAGTAATAATCAAACAAATTCCCTCTGATATGATCTACCTACAATTCTGTGTGTGTATATATATGTGTGTGTGTGTGTGTGTGTGCGTGTGCGTGTGCGTGTGTGTGTGTGTGAGAGAGAGAGAGAGAGAGAGAGAGAGAGAGAGAGAGAGAGAGAGAGCGAGGGGAACTAACTTACAGCTTTATTATTCCTGTCCGCCCGTACCAGTGTACCATTCAGACAAGTCTCCACATAGTGAATCTCTTGATTGTACTGTGAACATACATATGGAGAGGGTTAGATATGAGTGGAATATTACATTAAGAGCACAGACACACACAAATTCTAGACATACCTATTCATTTTCTAGATATGGTTTTAGATATGAGGTAGAATAATCATAAACACGGTATAGAAAAACTAGCAGCAGAAACACCATATAAACTCAGATAAACAGAGAAGCTAAAAACTAGCAGCAGAAACACCATATAAACTCAGATAAACAGAGAAGCTAAAAACTAGCAGCAGAAACACCATATAAACTCAGATAAACAGAGAAGCTAAAAACTAGCAGCAGAAACACCATATAAACTCAGATAAACAGAGAAGCTAAAAACTAGCAGCAGAAACACCATATAAACTCAGATAAACAGAGAAGCTAAAAACTAGCAGCAGAAACACCATATAAACTCAGATAAACAGAGAAGCTAAAAACTAGCAGCAGAAACACCATATAAACTCAGATAAACTGAGAAGCTAAAAACGCTAAGGGCAATACATTAAGCAGACCCCCCTCACACACAACCCCACTCCAGCACACACACACACACACACAGATCAGTTCAATCAGACTGACAGCGATGATGTTGAAGAAATCGTCATCTCCCAGTGTGTCCAGTATAGAGGAGACAGTCTGTCTGGCGATGGTCAGTCTCAGGCCCTTCATACTGCCACTCACGTCCACTAGAATCACCACGTCTTTAGGAGACGTTGCTGCCTGGATGTACCTGACCATGGAGGGATGACACAACAACACAAGTATACACACACTAACCAGAAAGTCAGTTCTATCTATCTATCTATCTATCTATCTATCTATCTATCTATCTATCTATCTATCTATCTATCTATCTATCTATCTATCTATCTATCTATCTATCTATCTATCTATCTATCTATCTATCTATCTATCTATCTATCTATCTATCTATCTATCTATCTATCTATCTATCTATCTATCTATCTATCTATCTATCTATCTATCTATCTATCTATCTATCTATCTATCTATCTATCTATCTATCTATCTATCTATCTATTCATTAAATGAGGGTATATAGAGTGTGGCATAACAACACAAAACATGTTGCCCAACCTAGGACCTCAATGCAGAAAACACTGACTGGAATCAATGCAGAGCTAAAGCAACACACAACACATGAACAAAATACTTGACAGGGATCAAGATTTTGCCATAATGTACGCTGCACAAACAAGTAATGCATGTTATTGTAGGTTACACAGCAAGAAGAAAAGCTATTTCCTTATTGGCTAACGCTGACCTATTGTGAAAAAGCATACCATTTCCTGTTCCTGCAGTCGAAGGCAATGACCCCGTGTTCGTCTGGATGCCATTTGACCCCTGGAACCATGAGGAGAGAGACACTTAGCTAGATACACAGAGCATTACGTCACACAGTCATACAGAGTGGAAGGACGTTCCGGAGCCAACTACAGACTATACAAGCCTCTAGAAATGGGGGTTCAATCCGCAGGTCTGTCTTTCATTGCTATGTGTATCTCAATAGAAATTGAAAGGAGAGTGGAGTCTAATGATGTCACATCCGTGAAGGGCACAGTGCTACGCTATATGTCCTATACGTTAACAATACACTAGACTCATAGAAACTAATGCACAACATTATCCACACACAGTCAGGCAGGGCACTTTGATGACTTTAAATGATATGACTGCAATGAGAAGGGAATTTGATGAAGGGCTTTATATATGAATTAACACTTTCTGTATCACCTCTAATTTCCCATACATGTATCTGTGGTGTTATAGTTAGTTATAGTACTGCAGTCAGCACGGTCACTGTCTGATGGTCACTGTCTGACGGTCACTGTCTGTTGGTCACTGTCTAATGGTCACTGTCTGACGGTCGCTGTCTGACAGTCACTTTCTGATGGTGCTGTAATTATCCCATAGCTCTGCCTTAGCTCTGGACTGTCTTGCAGTGTGCTGCTGCAGGAGCTGGACTCACAGTGGCAGCTCACATTCTGATTAATTTGTCATATGCATCCTCTATGATGGTCTGTAAAATTACAACATTAGCAAAATCACCCTTTGAGTGATTCCATTTCATTTCCCCCCATTTCGTACAGTGACTGCTTCCTGCTTCCTGCCCCTCCCCCACTCTCACATACGCACAGAGTAAGACACATGCATGCACACACAACTCACCGGGATACTGCCTAAAGAAGCCCTTGGCACTTCCAAAGTACTGCCATATCAGGGACGGATCTTTTTCAAAGTTATCCACAAACACTTTATTCAAGGCCTCTGACCAATACACCCCATTCACTATGGCAGGATCTGAGAGAGAGAGATAGAGAGAGAGAGAGAGAGAGAGAGAGAGAGAGAGAGAGAGAGAGAGAGAGAGAGAGAGAGAGAGAGAGAGAGAGAGAGAGAGAGAGAGAGAGAGATAGGAAAACCCTTTTTGGTTCCAGGTAGAACCCATTCTACAGAGGGTTCTACATGGAACCCAAAAGGGTTCTACCTGCAATTAAAAATGGTTCTTCAAATGATTCCCCTATGGGGACAGCAGAAGAACCCTTTAAGGTTCTAGATAACAACTTTTTTTCCAAGAGTGTATTACAGTTTTTCTCCATTGGTTTGGCTCATTTCTTGAAACAGAAATTACATTCTCAAAACTACATGGACAAACCTCCAAACCACTTGGCAATTGTTCACAACAGAATTGAATTTCTCATTCATTTCATCAAATTGCAAATGTCTAAGTACATGTCTCAATGTCTCAGTACATCTTTGCAAATGATTAAGTACAGGTAGCCTACATTTAGCACAATTTCCAAGTGAATAGATCTTGTTGATCTAAACTGATTGTTGATTCTCAGTCTAATGGTTGTTCGCTCCAAAACGTGTCAGCGTCATTTCATTGTATAAGTCATCACATGCACAATAGTCTGTTCAATTGTCAAAATTAGTCAAGAACATAATACCATGAATACCATATATGAATCCCTTGGAACATTTGATAAATTTATTACAGCAATTGACAGTCAGGTGAAACTAGAACTTGACTAACGAAGGAGGAGTTTCACACATCTCAGATGACCAATCAAACAGTATGTTTAGTTACCTGACAGGTGCTGTCCATGACTGTGAATGCTGCCAAACATGTATGTAAAGAGCTTGACCATGCAGGACCAGTACAATTTCTGAACATGGAGGCACCTGGCCAAGTAAATGAACAAGGGCAACTGCCTGCTCGAGGAAGAGGAAGAAGAAGAGGAGGAGGAGGAGTAAGGGTGCGTGGTGGTGGAATAGGGGGAAGAGGCCGAGGAGCACGAAGACACCATGCTGTCCCGGATGAAATTCGGGCCACAATTATAGACCATGTCATCAACCATGGCCTCACAATGGCGGAGGCAGGTCGCCGAGTGCAGCCTAATGTGCCTCGCTCAACAGTCTCCTCCATCATCCAAACCTTTCGCAGGGAAAACAGGTATGTAGTCAGTCAATGATGGAATTATATGTTGTATAGGACAGGACACTGTGCATAGAGCAAGAAATATATTTATTTACATATTTACCTATTCATTTAGTGTGTGTGTGTGATAGGCCTACAGTAATATCTTACCTCAATGGGATGTTATGATACTAAAAATGACAAGAAAAACATTGGAGAAAATAAACTATGGAATAGTTTATTTTCTACAGTATTGATGATACAGTTTACAGTAGTATTCCAGTCACTGTGCAGTGATGCATTAGAATTGTGGTAAAGTTACTGTAAGTAAAACAACAATACAATTACATAGGTAACTCATTCTGTAAGGAATACATAAGGTATACATTACGAATGGAGTGTTGTCCTTTGACTTCTATATCTAGGATTGGACGACAACCTTGCACAGGTGGCAGAGGAAATCTTCTCAATGAACAACAAGAACAAGAGATCTGTAACATGGTGATGGCAAATAATGCCATCACATTGAGACAGATCCGCGCTGCAATCCTACAAGACAATGCCATATTCCAAAATGTCAACTCTATAAGCATCTCCACAATAGACCGGATATTGAAGAAGCATCAGATGACAATGAAGCAAATTTACAGGGTACCATTTGAGAGGAACTCTGATAGAGTGAAAGAGCTGCGGTACCAGTATGTACATGTAAGTCAGTTACTGGTTGTCCATCATTATAACATTTTTACAATTAAGCAGTGGTTCCCAAACTTTTTTGGCTTCAGTACCCACTTTACCTGATTTGTGTATCCAGGTAATCCAGGTATGGAAGTATTTGATTTATCTGACTTCAACATTTCGCCTAAAAACTGCAGCTTACTGTATGATGCAATTATCATTATAATCCTTATTTTGAAGAATATAACATACAATAAGAAAAGGGGTCAAAGAGCTGCAATTAGTGCCTCCCATGTAAATCTATCTAATACTGTGGGTTTTACTGTAACATTTCAGTAAGTCTAGTCATTGATGATTTCCCCCCTCCCCTTTCTGTCAAATACCCCCTGTAGTACCTCTGCATAGGGGTACATGTACCCCAGGTTTGGAACCACTGGAGTAGTGGCCAGTAGTATATTGAACTTGTGGAGAACATAGAACATTCCTATGTAATTGTCTGTAACTGTAGTGTATGACTCTTCTGTATGACTGATTTGATGTTTTCTTTTTTTACGCTATTGTAGAGAATAATGGCATTGGAAGGAAACGAGACCCATCACATCCTCGTGTTTGTGGATGAAGCTGGCTTCAACCTGGCCAAGGGCCGAAGACGTGGCCGTAATATTATTGGCCACCGGGCCATGGTGGATGTCCCAGGCCAGCGAGGGGGCAATATAACTATGTGTGCTGCCATATCGGAGAATGGTGTGGCCACTCACATCCCCAGTCTTGGCCCATACAATACACAGAAGCTCCTCATCTTCTTGGACCGCCTTCATGTTGATTTGATCCCTGAAAATGAGAGCGGTCTCGTAGGGCCTCACCTACCACAATATGTCATTGTATGGGACAATGTGAATTTCCACCGTGGCCCGCTCATCAGGGCCTGGTTCACTACTCATCCAAGGATGGTCATGGTGTTCCTACCACCTTACTCTCCTTTCCTCAATCCTATTGAGGAGTATTTCTCCGCTTGGAGGTGGAGAGTGTATGAGCATCGGGCTCAAGATCAGAGGTCCCTGCTCCATGCAATGGACGCTGCGTGTGAGGATATTACAGGAGATCAGTGTAGGGGATGGTTGCGACATGCACGCCGTTTCTTCCCTCGTTGCATCGCAAGGGAGAATATACGCTGTGATGTGGACGAGAATCTGTGGCCAGACAGACAGCAGCGTGTGGATGGCCAGGAGGGTGAGGACAGCGACCAGTGAAGAACTGTTAGTTGTGAAACTCCAGCTTTATTTACAGCACTGTAGGCTGCATATAATTTTCATTGTTTTTTGTTTGTGTGTTTATATTACAGTATATTATGCTGTATACATTTTCTTTTTACTCTGATGTATGGAAGTTACTTTATGTGTGTGAATGATAATGGTTACAATTTCCTTGGCAGTATGAGTGCAATGTGTGATGTCAAACCTTGGAGGCTACTCTTACCCTAAAATCCTATTTATTTTTTTCAGTTTTATACACAATTGTATTCTGTTAGCTAGACAAAAAACAGTACAGTAACCATTGTCAATGAAGGACTGGGCTAAGACTGAAAGGTGGACATGAGGGATATTTCAATGGTCCTCTGCCATAGTGACAAAACATCTAAACATTTTGACTTGCAGTGCTTACACAATGCCAAAGGGACGAAGCATTTTGGGGGCACTGACTGTTTAAATGAGAAGGAAATTTAGTTTTGACACATGCGTGAACTGTTTTGGGAGAGGTATGAGCTTTTGCAGGTGAACCATGGTGTTGTGCCGAACCATCCACGTTATTTTGGCTAAAGCACCAAGAGTGTTGAGAACGTCCGGTCTGTTTCAAGAAATGAGCCAAAGCAATTGAGAAGGATCTTTGCCATTTTCGTGGCACTGACTCCTTATATGGGAAAGGAATTTAGTTTTGAAGCATGAGTGAACAGTTTTAGGAGAGATATGAGCTTTTGCAAGTGAGCTATAGTGTTGTGCTGAACTGTAAGACTGTTTTGCCAAATGATCTTAGAGTTTTGAGAATGTAATTTCTGTTTCAAGAAATGAGCCAAACCAATGGAGAAAAACTGTAATAGGTAATAATGGTCATCATCTCCATTAACACTGAACACAGGAGTGCTGGACCGTTGACCTTTGCCCTTTATTGACCCCTGGTGGAGGAACAATCAGTGTGACTAAATAATGTCCTCCCATCCTTCTGCTGCATGGCCTCCACACACACACGCACACGCGCACACACGCACACACACACACACACACAAACAGGCGGAGGCTCTCAGATAGCCTCCCATTGTGCAGAGAACAGGGGGGGGGGGGAGCACTGAGGAGCCCATTACAGACAGACAAAAGACACCCAGGGCTACACAGAGAGAGGTGTCATACTAAGCTAGAAAACAAATAACAGCTGAACATTAAGTCACTTCAAGAGAAACAACCCCATCACTTCCTCTCTCCTCTCTCCTCTCCCTTCCCTCTTCTCCTCACTCACTCACTCACTCACTCACTCACTCCATTGTCTTTGAAAGGCCTGTAGTGTGACTGCTCTCTCTATCTTTGGGCCATTATGGATCCCTTCTCTACCCCCACCCTCTTCCGCCCTCAACCCCCACCCTCTACCCCCGCTTTCCACCCCCACCCTCTACCCCCACCCACTACCCCCACCCTCTACCCCCCCTTACCCCCATCCTCTATTCACACACTTATAAAGAGAACACGTGGTCATCCCTACTGCCCCTGATCTGGCGGACTCACTAAACGCAAATACTTATTTTGTAAATTACGTCTGAGTGTTGGAGTGTGCCCCTGGCTATCCGTACATTTTCAAAACAAGAAAATGGTGCCATCTGATTTGCTTAATATAAGGAATTTGAAATGATTTATACTTTTACTTTTACTTTTGCTACTTAAGTATATTTGAGCAATTACATTTACTTTTGATAGTTAAGTATATTTAGAACCAAATACTTTTAGACTTTTACTCAAGTCGTATTTTACTGGGTGACTTTCACTTTTACTTGAGTCATTTTCTATTAAGGTCTCTTTACTTTTACTTAAGTATGACAATTGAATACTTTTCCACCACTGCATAATAGATGGCGCGTTTCACTTTTTAAAATTGGAAATTGACAAGAAATGTACCCCAAATCTGCTTCTCACACATTTCAATATATTTTTATTGTCCCCGAAGGGCAATTTAGTTGCCGGCATGAACTCTTATGACACCTCATTTGGGGGCGCTCCTACTTTTCCATATCCATATTTGCACACACATACACCCACTTCAACTATTATGCACTATATTGTCCCTACCTTTGTTATACATGTTGGTGGGCACCTGCACCACACTGAGGCTGAGGTTGACTGACAGGTTGTTGAAGTGTTCGTTGGGTTCCAGGACAAACTCTCCTCCCAGCTCCACGTTGTTGCCCTCCTCATCCACCTCGTTGATCAGCACCGCGTTGAAGTACTCATACTGAGGAACAGACACGGTACACATAGAGTTAACAGAGTTAACATCCACATTGTTAATCAGCACCGCGTTGAAGTACTCATACTGAGGAACAGACACGGTACACATAGAGTTAACAGAGTTAACATCCACATTGTTAATCAGCACTGCGTTGAAGTACTCATACTGAGGAACAGACACGGTACACATAGAGTTAACAGAGTTAACATCCACATTGTTAATCAGCACTGCGTTGAAGTACTCATACTGAAGAACAGACACGGTACACATAGAGTTAACAGAGTTAACGTCCACATTGTTAATCAGCACTGCGTTTAAGTACTCATACTGAGGAACAGACACGGTACACATAGAGTTAACAGAGTTAACATCCACATTGTTAATCAGCACTGCGTTGAAGTACTCATACTGAGGAACAGACACGGTACACATAGAGTTAACAGAGTTAACATCCACATTGTTAATCAGAACGGCGTTGAAGTACTCATACTGAGGAACAGACACGGTACACATAGAGTTAACAGAGTTAACATCCACATTGTTAATCAGCACTGCGTTGATGTACTCATACTGAGGAACAGACACGGTACACATGGAGTTAACAGAGTTAACATCCACATTGTTAATCAGCACTGCGTTGAAGTACTCATACTGAGGAACAGACACGGTACATATAGAGTTAACAGAGTTAACATCCACATTGTTAATCAGCACTGCGTTGATGTACTCATACTGAGGAACAGACACGGTACACATAGAGTTAACAGAGTTAACATCCACATTGTTAATCAGCACTGCGTTGAAGTACTCATACTGAGGAACAGACACGGTACACATAGAGTTAACAGAGTTAACATCCACATTGTTAATCAGCACTGCGTTGAAGTACTCATACTGAGGAACAGACACGGTACATATAGAGTTAACAGAGTTAACATCCACATTGTTAATCAGCACTGCGTTGAAGTACTCATACTGAGGAACAGACACGGTACACATAGAGTTAACAGAGTTAACATCCACATTGTTAATCAGCACTGCGTTGAAGTACTCATATTGAGGAGGAATAGACACAGTGCAGATACAGTATATAGTTCAAATCCAACTCAACAATCAGATCAGCACTGCATTGAAGTACTCATACTGATGCGGAAAACAACAGAGTTAACATCCAATTCCACCATCAGTTTCAATAGCCTCGTAGCTATCAAGTGGTATTGTATTTGTCTTGACGAACCAGACCGTGATGAGAAAAACACAAAGTGTTACATAAAGGGATATCCTTAGTAATGAGGTCAAAATACATTAGAACTGCACTTAGACTGCATATTTATACAGTAACTAGAGTCAAGCTAAACACTTTTCTGATAGGTTTAAAATGAAGTGGAGGTTATAGTGCAGCAGTCTAGCAGTGGTGGTGAGCTGTGCTGCTCAGCTCTCTGTCTGGACGATGGGGTTAATTAAGAGAACAATCAGACTTCTCTGAAGTGTAACTTTGCTTTGTGATTGGCCTGTTCTTCACAGTGCTGAACCCTGGACCCGCTTAGAGGAGAGACTCTCTCATTATTTCTAAGCATCCCAGCTCTGGACTAACTGGCCCCATTTGCCAGTGAAGGGCTTGGGGAGAGGCAGGGAGGGGGGGAGAGGCAGGGAGGGAGGGAAAGGAGGAGGGGGGTGTGATGGACTCTGTGGCGTACTTGGGGGAGGCCACACGGGCATCACCATAAAGCAGGGCCTGACAGCTCATACCATGCCTGGGCGCCCCTCTGACGGGCCGAGGAGGGGAGGAGGGGAGAAATGTGCATGCTCAGCAGAAGTGATAGGACTGTAGAGAGAGAGGCCCGTTAACCATCAGCAGGGTTATTACTGTAGTGTAGAGCAGGGCCAGGCCAGACAGGGGACACTGCGGCTCCACGGCCGAGACGCTCCATTGGCTCTTACTGTAGGTTACTGTACACCACTACTGCAACGAGATGGGGCCTACCGTTCCAGGGCTGGCTGTACAGGTAGTTACTGGTGGGTCTAATACCCTTTACACATTATTGTGCAACCCTGAATTTTTCACAATGTCCTTTCCAGCACGGTTCCATGCAGCAATTATGAGATGGATGCATAACCAGGCCAGGAAGAGTACAGTTTGGCATGGCATGGCTTGGCTTGTCTCAGTAGTGTGAAATGGGTATAACTGGTTTAAACCCAGGCTGACTGAGCTCAGGTTTTACTGCAGTGGGTCTTATTGGACCTCTTTGGAGGTCAATGTAACACCTATGACAGAGTAGTCCAGCCCAATTTATCCATACTGACCCTTTGATCCTCAGACTGACCTTCAGGCAGACATAATTATTTATTGTAGACATCACTGAGACTACTCTGACATAGTAACGTGGTCCTCTGTAGCTCAGCTGGTAGAGCACGGCGCTTGTAACGCCAAGGTAGTGGGTTCAATCCCCGGGACCACCCATACACAAAAATGTATGCACGCATGACTGTAAGTCGCTTTTGATAAAAGCGTCTGCTAAATGGCATATTATTATTATTTTTAGTAACAGACTTCACTCAAAAGTTGAACAAATACTGGTGGTAAAAAAAGAAGGAACAGACAGCTGTTGAGAGCTACTGTAGATTAGTACAAGTATTTAGGCTACTTATACAGGCACATGTTCTAATATTATTTTTAACTTTATTTTGATTCTCTTTAGGGATTTTTTATGTTGAAACCCACATAAAACTAAACCCACTTTATCGAGTGGAAATTCAAAATGACGAAAATTAGGCTACTTCAGAGTTCTACCTGCGGATATCAGATAATTTTATAACATCAAACTCTGTGACGCATCATTTAATAACAGTTTGCCGTTTTGACACCATGCATTTTTCACGCACCATTTCCCGGGCCAAGACTTCGACGTGATACGGCGGGTTCTCTCTTATCTCGTCTCTGTCTCATTTTAAGACGGTGCTGTGTTTTACATTGACCCGTGTTAGGCTATACAGCCAGGGTTCAAGGGCGTGCAGGTGATGTGTGTGACAGCATGGTATACCGCAAGGTCTCTCTGTATCCGCTCATATGCTATCGAAAACAGATCCGGCAAAATATGCTCAAATAATGATGTATTTTCACTTTCGTATTGTAGTTTATTGTATGATTGATGGGTCTCCGCAATTTAAGATGTAATGTTAAAGAAGAGAAACGTGTTTTGTAAGCAGCAGAGTAGTTTACTATTTAAAAGTCTGGCTACTTTTTCTGATAAGCATAGCCTATATGAGAGTCTCCTTTTACACGTCATAGTGACAACATTGAGCATCGAAAAAAAAAAATCTGGTATGGTGTAGAATTGTTTAATTAAAGATGAGCAATTCTGAAAATCTTTAAACAACAGTTTTCTAGAGAGACGGGGGGCTGCGGGGTAGGCCTACCCTACATTTTTACAATAAAGGATAGGCTTTAGGATTTTACAATGAAAATGTGGGCATGAAGTTTGAGCAAGTTCACTGTAAAATAACTAGTTTGAATAGAGCCTAAAGGAAAGAACGAAATATTATGTTTTACATTACCATGTAAGGAATCGATGCACATTATTCGGCTTAGGCTACTGTATAGCGATAAAAAAGTGATGAATTTGGTCACCATTTAAAATAATAGTAAATCATTATTCTCTAAAATAGTAACCCTGTTAAGTATGCACTAAAATATCTAACAGTCACAGTAATAGCCTTCAAAACTATGAAAATGAGTTATAAAGCTTATTATGCATGTGTAGCCTATAGTGTAAACGTGTAGGCCTATACTGTAAATGTGTAGCTTACAGTAGATCTAAATATGACACTCCCAAAAAAACAGGAAACCCTTCGCTCAATGACAATATGTTCTTAAATCATAAAACAATACAATAATAACCGAAATTCTGTCCTATAATGGTAATAATGACCTTCGCCACCTTCTCCCAATGTGTTCATATAATCACCAGAGAAACCTGCAAACCATGGGGTGATCACAATGTATTCATATGATGTAAATGCAGCTATTAACTGGGAAGTGTGGTAACATTATTTTAAAGTGTGTTGTTGCCCGAGTGAGTTTCCAATCTTCAGGAAGAAAAGTGGAACAATGCACTGTGCATAAGAGTTCCATTTATCTTTGTCTACTGGAAAGAGGGAGAACGTGAAAGGGAGAGAGAGAGAGAGAGACAGAGAGAGAGAGAGAGAGAGAGAGAGAGAGAGAGAGAGAGGAGAGAGAGAAGAGAGAGAGAGAGAGAGAGAGAGAGAGAGAGAGAGAGAGAGAGAGAGAGAGAGAGAGAGAGGGAAAGAGAGAGAGAGAGAGTGAAGGAAGGAAGGAAGGAAGGAAGGAAGGAGGGAGGGGGAGGGGAGGGAGGGAGGGGAGAGGGTCCTGTACATTCTCAGTGTGACAGAATTACTGCAATCCCACCGCATAGGAAGAGGAGGCTCACTGCACCAAGGAAAAGGAAAAAGAATCCAGCAATAATAGCTGTGTAATGTCCTTTAAAGACTGAGCACAATGGCCGTGCGCTGGGTTGGGTTGTAAAACACACAGGCATGGGAACCACACCTGAACACGTACTGCAGCACAATGGCCGTGCGCTGGGTTGGGTTGTAAAACACACAGGCATGGGAACCACACCTGAACACGTACTGCAGCACACACAATGGGAATATTATATTCTCTTATATTTCATAAAGTATGAGGATGGATTAATTTATGAATATTTCATGTATGAAGTTGAAATAAACCAAAGAAACAGCTGATTGTTGTAGCATGACATCCAATCATTTTGCTGTGTTGCATTACTTTTCATATCAGTGTACTATTTATATCACTATGCTTTGTGACGTGTTAGAAGATAAAATCAGCGTTCCTTGAGTGCGAGATTTCATTCCCATTATTGTTAATGGTGCAGTTATATAATGGTATAAGTGCATTGTAATATCATCGGATTCCAGTGTGGTTTGTCAGTGGGCGCTGACCGTGGTGCTGAACTTACACTTGGATCCTGTTCTTTCCAATGGCAGTTTACTGAAATTGAAGCCACTCCCTCTTCAACAGTGTCAGGTTCACAGGCTACTTGTGAATGATGATTACGCTTTAAAACAATCAGTGTGAGTTACCAGCCGCAGTATGGTCTGGCGTTCTCTGCAGCGTTTCTTATTAAAGAGGCATAATGTATCATCACTGTGACAGGGTATTAACATGAAGGACACTGCCAATGCCAACAGCCACTATACTGTCCGTAACCCCTTCTATCACCTTGTCATAGACTACCCCTTCTATCACCTAGTCATAGACTACCCCTTCTATCACCTTGTCAGACTACCCCTTCTATCACCTTGTCAGACTACCCCTTCTATCACCTTGTCAGACTACCCCTTCAATCACTTTGTCATACACTACCCCTACTATCACCTTGTCAGACTACCCCTTCAATCACCTTGTCATAGACTACCCCTTCAATCACCTTGTCATAGACTACCCCTTCAATCACCTTGTCAGACTACCCCTTCTATCACCTAGTCATAGACTACCCCTTCTATCACCTTATCAGACTACCCCTTCTATCACCTTGTCAGACTACCCCTTCTATCACCTTGTCAGACTACCCCTTCTATCACCTTGTCAGACTACCCCTTCTACCACCTTGTCAGACTACCCCTTCTTTTATATCTCTCACTTTCTCTTCTACATGTTATGTTACTTACCGTCTCTCTGTCTTCTACACGTCACCTTTTCTTGACCCCCCCTCCCTTGCCCGCACCTCTCACCTGTAGCTCCGGGTTCTCCTCGTGCTGTAGATGTGCCTCCTCTGCTGCCTCCACCAGCCTCTGAAGGGGGAGAGATAGGGGGGAGGGGGTAGATGGGTGTGGGAGGGGGGAGGGGGGAGGGGGGGGGGATAGATGGGTGTGGGAGGGGGTAGATGGGTGTGGGAGAGGGGAGGGGAGCGGGTAGGGGTGTGTGAGGGGCAGGGGGGGTAGATGGGTGTGGGAGGGGGGAGGGGGGGGGTAGATGGGTGTGGGAGGGGGGGGGGGGATAGGGAGGGGGAAGGACAGCTCAACTCCAACCCATCACCCATGATCAAGAGTTATTTGAGACCTGACACAATATCAAAGTATCTCAGTGGCTCCCATACTCCCAGCTAGGCTGCTGCAGGGAGGCAGTCAATCTGCAGTAACAGAGGACCAGAGAGATGAGGGCTGAGGAATGGCCCTGCCTGCCTACCTGCATGGCTGTTTGGAGCACAGAGACATGAGCTTGCTCTACTCCTGGTGCTCTGGCCATGGAACAGCCCAAGCCATGTAGTGTAAATGGTAGCTGGGATGGACAGAATTGCTAGTCAAGGACCTTCGACATCTTGCAGTATTCAATCAATGTTTCCACACTTAAATGATATTTCCCAAAACGAATAATAATACAGTTATACAGCAACTGTTAAATTATTTGATGTTATTTAGTAATGCTCAGGTCATTCTTCTAATCCACTTCAAATGATAGGCTGAGCACAGTGCTTAGTGCTATCAATTACCTGCCTGTGTGCAATCAATTACCTGCCTCAAACAAAGGATGCTCTTACCTCTGAAAACAACATGAAAATCATACCACTAGGCCTACATTAAAACATATATTTTTCTGTGCTTAAAAATGTCCCATCACATAGGCCTATATTTCTGCCTAGCAAGGCCACCCACAGAAATATGTGCGTGCAGTGAGTGAGATGATTGATTGGCATAGGCCAGTGTAGAACCGTAACCCACGACACGCAATAACCTCTATACAATATTCCCCTCCTTGAAATGTGCTTGCCTGCGTGTTTTGGAAGAAATGCCGCCTTAACACCTAGGCTACTACAGTCGTCATCGCCATTCTGGAAATGGTAATTAATAACTGTCGAGCACGTCAAAAAATAGCTGCAATGCAAACAGAAAACAGCAGTAGGCTGTTGCATGACGCAAACTCTTGTGTGACAGTTAAACTTAATTTATTTTCATACCTTTGGCGTTTCAGTCTTAGATGGTGTCGTTAACAATACAGACATAGGCTATTGAAATAAGGAGAAAACCTCAAGGCGCTACATTTAAACAGATTTTTCTCTAGGCCTTTTTGGAGGGGCGGGGTGGGGGGGACAAATCACAAGAAGCCAACATTTGCTAGGGAGATATTTCAAACCATATCAAATAAGTATTATTAACGAAAGGGAATTTCAAAACAGATATTCAAGGCTCAGAAGGACTAGATCAATATCATAAGTACGAATTAGGCTACAATGTTATTGTTTTATATTCATTTTAATTCCAGTAGGCCTACGCCACGGCACTGGTAGCCTATAGCCTGTCAATTGGTGACCATCGGAATTTCGTTAATTGGATTTGACAATTTGATTGTTGCCAATTGAGAGATATCAGTTATTTTATTTAGGCTAAGCCATAAAAAAAGAAGTCAACGAATGCGATTTTTTATCATTTGCATCCGACGAAATAGGCCTAGGCAATGTAGTGCTTTCAAATAATTGTAATTTGTTTACACAGAAACCATTTTTCCAATTTACAGCACTGTAATAATACACATTGAAATACTGCCTAATAAATAGAGAATGATAAAAGCAATGGTCCCACACTGTAGAATTACAACCATGCAGGTAATACGGTACAGCGCAGTGAGATCTGGCAGCGCGAGATAAACGCTATCATCTCACACCAGCTTAACTATTAAAATAGGCTACTTGCACCTCTCCTCTCCGGCCCAATATAAATGTCCAACGGCTATATCTGTCTCATGAGAATGCCTTCACAGTAGAGTGATTGTAGTAAATAGCATACCACCGCTGGATAAAATGCGACACTAGTGTAATTGTCATCCATGACAAACTTTGAATTTAAACCTGTGTTATGAATATAAATGCCCACCAAGCAGAAAGCTTGAGGAAGAAAAACGAAAAATATATTTCTGACCGTTGAAATATATGGCTACCAGCTTACAATTGGTTTTAAGAGCTTCATGGTCATGGATAGGCCTAATGAAATTGCCAATGATGCTCCTAAATGTGATAATAATAATAATAATAATAATAATAATAATAATACATCTTGATATTTTGTTGATCATTTTTAGATAGCCTAAATCTATATATTTTCTAAACCTGCTTGCTGTGCATGTCTACAGTTGAGGCTGTGAAATAACAGAACGTTTGATATTTTTCTGAATTGCTTTAAAGTCTCGTCTTCTCAGTAGTCTAAATTAGGCCTACTTCCAGAAAACATAGCCTGATGAAGGGCAGATAAAAGGAAAGATACGACGATATATGTACCCGAATGGCCTCCTTTTTCATCCGGAACATCTCCTCCATCTTCTTCGATAGATTTTTGACCACTTTCATGCCATCAATTTCTTCCACTCGGACAGACTTTTCCAATTCTTTATATTTCTGTAAATGAAAGAGAAAATATATGTTTTAACTCTCTAATACAGCTGGTGTTTGTGAAAAGTTGACATACTAATATTATAAACACTGAGAGGCTTGTAGACTATATCATACATTTCACTGATAAAAATGTCAATAGAATGTGAACATGTTACAATTAAAAACAAATCATAAATCAAAGCAAATCAAAGTCTATTGGTGCACATGATACAGGGTGTAAACAGTAGGTACAACGGTCCAGAGTGAGTGTGTGCGATAAAACGGTTCAGAGTGTGTGTGTGTCACAGAGGATCACAAGAACATTTCGAATATACATCTCATGTCAATGGGCTTTTATTAGGTGGGTTAAGCCAATGAGCCCTGTGTTTTAGTAACAGAGAAGGTGAACCTTTGTGCTATCTGTTTATTCCACACACACACACACACACTTCACATCCGATGAAGAAAAATCCATCAGCTCTCATATCCCTGCACCTCTGGAACCAGCAGAGAGTCCAGTGTAACACGCCCTCCCATGTCTCTGAGAAGGGCTGACAAGCCTCAGATGATTGGCTGATAAGATGTATCCTGTTTCATTGAATGATTGATAGGCTTTATCTTGGCTGACAAGCTGTGGCTCTGGCTCTGATTGGCTGCTGGGTGGGCTGGGGGCGGGCCTGGAAGTGAAGGCCACGCACGGTTGGAGGGTAATTGAAATGCAGTCAAAGCACGGGAGAAAGATAATAACGTGTCAGGCTTGGGCGCTTCTGGATAATGAACTACACTTCACATAATGCTGAGTCTGCAGGATACACTGCACCTGCATGGACAGAACAAAGCCCAACAGAACACACAAAGAGAATAGAACATGACATTTAAAAAAATTACAACACACACAGTCACACAAAATAATAATCAGAGTATAATCTGCATGTCTCTCATGTCCCTCACACACACACATGCGCACATGCACGCACGCACACACACACACACACACACACACACACACACACACACACACTGGGGCCCGCAATTATTGACCCCCTGATAAAGCTGAGCAAAAATGACTGTCTAAAAAAAAGTACTCAAATACTGAGCGATATTGTTTGCTAAAAAAATAGGGAAATTATATTATTTTATACTAATACAATTGCTTAGAGAGAGATTTGGTTTAACAAGTAATAATAGTTTTTCTGAAAAAGGTAGGGGTAAGAAATTATTGACACCCCTGTTGTCAATACTTTTCAATACCTCACCTTGAAGATAAAGGCACCAACAGACAGCATGCGACATGGGTGGCCCATTAATTTGTAATGAAGCCTAGGTGGGGGGAGAACTTCTATCCAGATGGAGGGGTCGGCGGTGTTCGTGCCAGTGAAAGCCGCTAAACCGAGGCGTAGAAAATATAATTCTGCTCTATTTTCAAGCGGTGCTGTAGTTGTTGACCAGTCACAGTTGAAAACGTGGCCTGCGTGGTGATACTTCAGCACGTACGTCCAACAGCAGGACCAGCTAACTTGCCCAGAGTCACGTTTAACAATTAAAAATATTTGTTTTCTAATCCATTTTTGGTTTAATCATTTCTGTTGCATGTAAATACATTTTTATGCATACATATGGTGTTAAAGCCCATTTTTTTTGCATGTCAATAATCTTTGTTTATTTCATTGCTATGATCACTGGCAGCTGTCACCCTCCTGTGTGAGAGAATGGCCCTGGAGGGAATGTGCTATTTTGTGTATTTGTTTGCGCTATTCTTAACTTTTTTTTGTACATAATGTTTCCGCCATCATTTCCTATGACTGAAAAGAGCTTCTGGACATCAGAACAGCTATCACTAACCTTGATTTGGACGAGGACTTCTACTTCAATAAGTCAGAGGTGAAAGACATTGATTATCCTGGACCAGGCCCAAATCCCCGAAACTCGAAGAAGGAGGAGACGGCGCTGCGGGATACCTGACGAGACTACTCAGAGAGTGGATAAATCGCCTCTACCCTCCGTTCTATTGGTGAACGTGCAATCACTGGAGAATAAATTGGATGAGCTCCATTCGAGACTATCCTATCAACGTGATCTGAAGAACTGTAATATCTTATGTTTCTCCGAGTCATAGCTGAACAAGGACATGGTAAATATAAATCTAGCTGGTTTTTCTATACATCGGCAGGACAGAACGGCAGCATCAGGGAAGCTCAGGAGAGGGGGTGTGTGTCTCTTTGTTAACAACAGCTGGTGCGCGATCTCTAATATTAAGGAAGTCCTAAAGTTCTGCTCGCCTGAGTTAGAATGCCTCATGATAAGCTGTAGACCATACTATTTACCAAGAGAGTTTTAATCTATATTTTTCATAGCTGTCTTTTTACCACCACAAACCGATGCTGGCCCTAAGACAGCACTCAACAAGTTGTATAGGGCCTTAAGAAAACAAGAAAATGCTCACCCAGAGATGGCGCTCCTAGTGGCCGGTGACTTTAATGCAGGAAAACTGAAATCCGTTTTCCCTCATTTCTACTGTGCAACTAGAGGCAAAACAACTCTAAATCACCTCTGCTCCACATACAGAGAGGCATACAAAGCTCTCCATCACCCTCCATTTGACAAATCTGACCATAACTCTATCCTCCTGATTGCTGCTTACAAGCAAAAACTCAAACAGGACGTACGAGTGACACACTCAATATGGAAGTGGTCTGATGAAGCGGATGCTAAGTTAAAAGACTGTTTCACTAGCACAGACTGGAATATGTTCCGGGATTCATCCGATGGCATTGCGGAGTTTACCATATCCCCATAGTGACTGTACGTACATATCCAAACCAGAAGCCATGGATTACAGGCAACATCCGAACTGGGATAAAGGCTAGAGCTGCCGCTTTCAAGGAGCGGGACCCTAATCCGGTTGCTTATAAGAAATCCTGCTATGCCCTCCGGCGAACCATCAAACAGGCAAAGCGTCAATACAGGTCCAAGATTGAATCCTACTACACCGGCTCTGACACTCGTCTGATGTGGCAGGGCTTGCAAACTATTACGGATTACATAGTGAAACCCACCCTGTCTAAATGACTACCGCCCCGTAGCACTCACATCTGTAGCCATGAAATTCTTTGAAAGGCTGGTCATGGCCCACATCAACCCCATCATCCTGGACACCCTGGACCCACTCCAATTCGCATACCGCCCCAACGGATCCACAGATGACGCAATCTCTATTACATTCCACACTGCCCTTTCCCACCTGGACAAAAGGAACACCTACGTGAGAATGCTGTTGATTGAATACTGCTCAGCGTTGAACACCGTAGTGCCCTCCAAGCTCGTCACTAAGCTAAGGACCCTGGGATTAAACACCTCCCTCTGCAACTGGATCCTGGACTTCCTGACTGGCTGCCCCCAGGTGGTGAGGGTAGGCAACAACACATCCGCCATGCTGACACACAACATGGGGGCCCCTCAGGGGTGCATGCTTAGTCCCTTTCTGTACTCCCTATTCACCCACGACTGTGTGGCCACGCACGACTCCACCACCATCATTAAGAGGACACAACGGTGTTAGGCCTGATCACCGACAACGATGAGACAGCCTACAGGGAGAAGGTCAGAGACTTGGCAGTGTGGTGCCAGGACAACAACCTCTCCCTCAACGTGAGCAAGACAAAGGAGCTGATTGTGGACGACAGGAAATGAAGGGCAGAGCATGCCCCCATCCTCATCGACAGGGCTGTAGTGGCGCAAGGTCGAGAGCTTCAAGTTCCTCTGTGTCCACATCACCTATAAACTATCATGGTCAACACACACCAACACAGTTGTGAAGAGGGCTCGACAGCGCCTTTTCCCACTCAGGAGGCTGAAAAGATTTGGCATGGGCCCTCAGATCCTCAAAAAGTTATACAGCTGCACGATTAAGAGCATCTTGACTGGCTGCATCACCGCTTGGTATGGCAACTGCTTGGCATCTGACTGCAAAGGCGCTACAGAGGGTAGTGCATACGGCCCAGTACATCACTGGGGCTGAGCTCCCTGCCATACAGAACCTCTATACCAGGCGGGGTTAAAGGAAGGCCCTAAAAATTGTCAAAGACTCCAGCCACCCAAGTCATAGACTGTTCTCTCTGCTACCACACGGCAAGTGGTACCGATGCACCATGCACCATGTCTGGAACCAACAGGACCCTGAACAGCTTCTACCCCCAAGCCGTAAGACCTTTTTGCACTATTTTGACTCATCAGTTGCGCTGCTGTTACTGTTTATTGTCTATCCTGTTGCCTAATCACTTTATCCCTACCTATATGTACATATCTACCTCAATTACCTCGTACCCCTGCACATCAACATGGTACTGGTAGCCCGTGTATATAGCAGAGTTATTGTTACTCATTGTGTATTTATTCCTCTAGTTATTATTTTTTTATTTTTCTATCTGTATTGTTGGGAAGGGCCTGTAAGTAAGCATTTCACTGTTTGTCTACACCTGTTGTTTACGAAGCATGTGACAAATAAAACTTGCTTTGATTTGTGAAGGCTCTAGCCGCTTAGACTACAGGGACAACAGAACAGGAGTACGGATGACGGGGAACTCTGCAATATTCTGCTGGCTATCTGAGTTGGAGAACACAATGGGAGGGATCTTAGACCATTCCTCCATACAGAATCCTTCCAGATCCTCAATATCCTTTGTCTGTGTTTATGGACTGCCTTCTTCAATTCAAGCCACAGGTTTTCAATGGGTTTCAAGTCCGGAGACTGAGAATGGCCATTGCAAAATGTTGATTTTGTGGCCAATTAACCATTTATTTGTGGATTTTGATGTGTGCTTGGGGTTATTGTCTTGATGGAAGATCCACTTTCAGCCAAGTTTCAGCCTCCTGGCAGAGGCAACCATGTTTTTGGCCACTGGGTAAAGTTCATGATGCCGTTGCCCTTAACAAGGGCCCCAGGACCAGTGGAAGCAAAATAGCCCCATAACATCAAAGATCCACCACCATATTTTACAGTAGGTACAAGGTTATTTTCTGCTTATGCATTCTCATTTTGACGTGAAACCCACCACTGGTGTGCGTGGTCAAAGAGCTCTATTTTCATGTCATCCAACAAATGTAAACACCTGGAGTTTGCTAAATGGCATAGACACTTGGATTGGAACTGGTGCTTTGATCAGATGACATGAAAATAGAGCTCTTTGGCCATGCACACCAGTGGTGGGTTTAGCATCGAAATGAGAATGCATGAGCAGAACACACACATACATACACAAATTCCAGCACGAGGCGACAAATTACCCAGGGAAAGGAAGAGTGTGGGCCGGCAGTGGCGCGGAACAGTTCATTTCACACCTGTCCTCCCCTCCTCCTCACCCCCCTCCTCAGCCCTCCCCAGTCATCAGGGATTGGTTAAACCCCATCCATCAACAGAACTGATTAGGATTATTGATTAAGGTAATGACTGATGTGTAGATGAGGCCTGACCGAACATAAGCCTAAGGAGGACACACACACACACACACACACACACACACACACACACACACACAACCTCCTGTCTGTATTCGTACTCCTGTTCTGTTGCCCATACAGCAGCTCAGCTCTGTGTGGAAATCTACTAATTCCCCATAATAAAGCACCTAATGATCATCCTTAATGATCAGCCCTAAAACCATCCAGCCGTGCCTCCCTCTCTCCACCTCGCCACACTGGCCACTCAGAGTGGGAGAGGCCTGCTCATTGGATGAAAGATATTGTACACCAGTCATGCTTCTGTGAACGGGAACATGAGGAAAGTGCTTACATACGCACACACACACACACACACACACACACACACACACACACACACACTGCTACAGTGTTGGATGTTAGAGTATTGCAGCAGCAGCCTGGTGATGAGCTAAGCTCCTCCTTATCACACAGTGAGAGGCTGATGAATGGAGCTGGATGGGGATATTTATCTCCTCATCACCACTGAGTTCACACTCAATCACACCACTTACATACAGTACAGTATGCACTGTATGAATGTAACAGATCAGGGTCGTATTCACTAGAAACCAAACGGAAGAAAACGGACTGAAACAGGGAGGGACTACCTGAACTTGTCCAAATATAAAACTCTCATTTTCATTGCAAAATGTTTTTCGTTGCAAAACATTTTGCTACAGTTTATTACGGTGTGCACTAATGAATATGACCCATGTTTTCCTCTATCTGTGGTCATCGACTATCTCTGGTTTTCAATTAAACTAATTTCAAACTGCTGCATGTCTGGAATAATATAAAAAGAAAAAAAAAGAAAAAATGCAGTGTTTAATTCAAGCTCAATTGAAATTGAGCATAAAATCAGTTGGAATAAAATGACTGTCTACATTCAGGTGTAAGCACATAGGGCCAAATGTTTATTTTTTTCCGTCTCCGTAACTCAGACTTTCCCATAAAGTATGCACATTAGTGCCCAGTGAGTACACTACAGTACAAATAGTCATTAAACTTCAAAATGCCCATAAACATGGCCATATTGCCAAGATAACTCTGTACTTTTACAGTACTCCAGCCAGAGCTCTGGGTTCAGCATTAGGTTTGCAAGATTCCAGAAATCCTGGCTGGAGGATTCACGATTTTCTGCTTATTCCCTTCTGATTCTGGGAATCTTCCAACTGGGATTTCTGGAAAACCTGGGAATTTTGGGAAAGATAGCATCATTCTGTAACCCTATCCAACAGACAGTTCAGTAAATTGCTTCCACTTGGATGACAGGTGCTGTAGTGTACAAACCATAACCTCTGTACACAATGGAGAGCACACGTCTGCCACCAAGTGGTCATTTACTTTCACTTAGGGGCTTTTTTCTGAAAACCCATCTCTCTTTCTCTCTCTCTCTCTTCTCCCCCCTCTCTCTCTGCACCCCACCTATTGCCTCCAACGCATCCCAGCCCATCCCACTCAACACACTCTTATTCAATTTGTCTCCTTGTCGCATTTATATCCTGGGGTTGAAACTCTTTACTTCAGAGGGTGCACTGGAGATGAGATGAGAGAAGAAACAGTGCTGTGGTTAATGGGATGTGTCCAGTACACACACACACACACACACACACACACACACACACACACACACACACACACAGAGAGAGAGAGAGAGAGAGAGAGAGAGAGATGGGCCTCTGATCCACACACCTGAGTCCTTTCTGACACAACACATCAGTATTCAGCTGGGACACAGAAATGTGTCAGCAGCCATTAGATGAAAATGCAGCATTACAGCGTACAGTGTGTGTGTGTGTGTGTGTGTGTGTGTGTGTGTGTGTGTGTGTGTGTACAGGAATGAGATTAAGATTGAGGAAAGAAAATAAAGAGATACCTTCTGCAGCAGCTGGGATCCAGAGTATTTTGCAGAAATTGATTTAATTTCTCCACCAAACGCTGAGGCCCATAACTTCACCCTGGAAACCAACAGAACATTTCTATATTGTTATTATATCAGTTCAGGTGAACACAAGAGATTATGTGACATTACACACACATTTCAATAATGTACAGTACAGATAATGAGAAAATAAAAATTGCACCAGACATGTCTAAACAATTCTCTAACCATGAAATCATAGATCCATTGATATCTAGAAGTTGTATGTGTGTTATATGGCTGGTGTAAGTATAAACTATTTTCTTGAAGATACACCTGTTCTTAAAAAACCACAAGACCCTCATATAAGAAATACATTGTTTTGAAGTGTGTTGAATTTGCGTCCATTAACAATATGTCAAATACGCTAGACCTACATTGTAGATAAGTAATATCATTCAATGTAGCTGTTTATTAATGTTTATTTGGTGTTTATGATGTGTTATAAATGGATGGTTTATGTGGCTAAAGTCGATACAAGCTGTTGCCTAAAGCCTTAAACTGTACATTGTAGACTGTGGTGTCTCTATGCAGACCAAAGTACAGCACTCTGGGTTAACATCGACAAATGAACATGGTTTTATTGTAATGTTTTGTATAGTAGTTATTTAGGACATCTTGATTAAAAGAAGGACAACAATCTGTTTAAATAAAGACATCTGTACATTTAAATAGTGTGTAAATGTCATTGATATATTATTCATTTGTTGATCTTACACTATTATTATGCCAGATATGATCCATCTATAGCAATAAACTTAGGGTTAGGGTAAAGAAGTCTATTTTTGTAATTATTTATTAGACACCAACAGCAATAAATAAATAATAAAAACGAATTATTATTATTATTATTAGTAGTAGTAGTAGTAGTAGCTCAGCTGGTAGAGCACGGCGCTTGTAACGCCAGGGTAGTGGGTTCGATCCCCGGGACCACCCATACACAAAAATGTATGCACACATGACTGTAAGTCGCTTTGGATAAAAGCGTCTGCTAAATGGCATATTATTTATTATTATTATATTATTATTATTATTATGCAGTTGTTGTTACATTGTTATGACATGCTGATGTTTTTTGCTTGTTTATAATTTTTACTATAACAAGTCTACTGCTTACACACTTCAGGAAATCTAACTGAAAAACTCAACAATAGGTGGTGTAACGAGTAACTAAAAAGTTAAGATATGACACCCTCCACTCACACTGAGAGAGGAATCCCTTGCTGGGACCCCATCACGTCCACCACCGCCGTGCCCAGTATAATCCAGAAGAGAAGGAAACTGGCGCAGCACACGTGCGAAAAGAGGATCCTCCAATTCCACAGCATCTTCACGAGCCTTCCCGAAAATGGATCCTGGTACAATGGCTAGTCCCTCTCTAGTCCCGAAAACGCACTCAGCGCGAAAAGCAGCAGCCCCTGTTACCGGCAGCACATATTTCTCGGTGCCTATCTCGCGCCAGTTCCGCATTCAAGGGGCCAGTTGTCACTCCTGAAGGGACCCGCGTGCTGAAAGAGAGCGTTGACCTATGAACATAGGCACAAACCCCTCACCGCCAGAGGGCAAACAGAGAGAGAGAGAGAGAGACACTAACGTCAGGCATCCATGTGTGATAATATTGCAATTGCTGTTATCGTCTGAAAAGGAAATTGCTATATTCTCTTCTGGGGATTTACCCGAGATTTGCGGATCTCAGCCTTTTGCCCCAAATAAAAAAAAAACCCCACCTCAGCTGCTTTCACAGGGAAGGAACACTGAGGAGGGATAATGAGTTGCCGGTAGAGCAAAGAGCCTGAAGCAGGGTGCCAGAGAGAGGGAGCGAAGAGCACCAGAATGTTTGTGTGGGGTATCCTACATCACGTTGTGAGAACCCCAGAAAGAGCGTGAAAAGGTGGAAATGTAAAATGCGAAACTTTCACTATGGAGCGGACATTCCAAAAGTCAGCATGAGAGTTTGTGCTATACCTATATTGCCTTTTCTTCCTACAGACTTCCAGATGAACGATGCTTTGTTGTTTGAGGCAGATTGCACCGTCTGGCCTGCTCGTTGTCTTTCAAGTCGGTGGTGGATGAAACGATAGACCAATGCAATATGCACAGCTGACATTAAATCGACATGACTGATTAAGCGTTTATTATGCTAATCAAAGATCAACGTTTGTCATTCTAAGCCATTGGTAGTTTAACGCCTCGATCACACCGACAATGTCATTGCATTTTGGTACACCAGAAGTACATTCATTTCCAATGGAACGCTGCGTTTGCCTTGCAGCATTGCGTTGTAGAGGCAGTTGCAGTGCGTTCTGTGTGGTGCATACATTGGATTTATCGAACGTATGTGTCAAACTGTATGCGAAGACGGCTTGACAGAAATGGTAGCAGAAGGTGAATGTTGAACTTTTGTTGCACACATATCCAGATGATGTTGCGTACTATTATCGGTGTAATCAAGACGTAAAGCTTCACCTCCACAAGATGTGTAAAACTCTGCGTTCCGGCGGAAGTCATTCATTGTCAATGGAGCAGTCCGCAACGCTACGTTTGGGATCCCGCACTAGGCTGCGGTGCGTTCTGTGTACCTCATGTGTTCAATATTTTCAACTCGTGCGTTGCATTACCATGCGGTGGTACAAACGGAAGTTCATAAAAGTTCCATGGCAGGGGTGGCACCATACAGAGGCCAAATTATGATGACTATTGTGTAGTTAAAGACAAGAAGATACCGGCTGAATGACTGGAAATGTGTCTCTGGTAAGAATGACTCTGGCACAATTAATCATTACTACACTTGGGTAGTGCACCCTGTTGGCTAGTTTTCACGAAACCAGCCAACAGAATGGCATGCAAAATGAATATGCACAGAACTGTTCTGTGTGTAATTTAGCATGCCATCATGCAGTACAAGCTAGTGATTTGAAATCAGTACTCTATATGGGAACAACCAGTTCAATTTATTGATGTTGCTAGAGATGAGTGACAGAAGAATAGAAAAAACTAAATGAATTGTTGTAAAGTACCCTTGTGCGCGCCGGTCTGTTGTTAGCTCTGCCAGCCTATGAAACCAGTAGGTCGATAGGATAATAACTTTTTTCTGTTCAAATTATTACCTTTGGTCGAACAGGGCGAAAATGATCTTCTCCATGCTGCAAACCGGGCTAGACACCGGAAAAACAACATACGGCATTTGCATACCTTTTGATTACTTACAGATTACCAAAGAGACTCAGCGTTTAGTGCATGTTTTATTTGATGGGTAGACTATAGCCACAACGCCATGAACTAGGCTACTGCAGTGCATACATGAATTGCCATTGCAAATCGTTTGAGTCAGCAAGACTAAATGCATGTTAGAGTTAATGTTGGGAGTAGGCTAGCCGATAATATGGAAGAATACAGTGGGGAGAACAAGTATTTGATACACTGCCGATTTTGCAGGTTTTCCTACTTACAAAGCATGTAGAGGTCTGTAATTTTTATCATAGGTACACTTCAACTGTGAGAGACGGAATCTAAAACAAAAATCCAGAAAATCACATTGTATGATTTTTAAGTAATTAATTTGCATTTTATTGCATGACATAAGTATTTGATCACCTACCAACCAGTAAGAATTCCGGCTCTCACAGACCTGTTAGTTTTTCTTTAAGTAGCCCTCCTGTTCTCCACTCATTACCTGTATTAACTGCACCTGTTTGAACACGTTACCTGTATAAAAGACACCTGTCCACACACTCAATCAAACAGACTCCAACCTCTCCACAATGGCCAAGACCAGAGAGCTGTGTAAGGACATCAGGGATAAAATTGTAGACCTGTACAAGGCTGGGATGGGCTACAGGACAATAGGCTAGCAGCTTGGTGAGAAGGCAACAACTGTTGGCGCAATTATTAGAAAATGGAAGAAGTTCAAGATGACGGTCAATCACCCTCGGTCTGGGGCTCCATGCAAGATCTCACCTCGTGGGGCATCAATGATCATGAGGAAGGTGAGGGATCAGCCCAGAACTACATGGCAGGACCTGGTCAATGACCTGAAGAGAGCTGGGACCACAGTCTCAAAGAAAACCATTAGTAACACACCACGCCGTCATGGATTAAAATCCTGCAGCGCACGCAAGGTCCCCCTGCTCAAGCCAGCGCATGTCCACGCCCGTCTGAAGTTTGCCAATGACCATCTGGATGATCCAGAGGAGGAATGGGAGAAGGTCATGTGGTCTATTGAGACAAAAATATAGCTTTTTGGTCTAAACTCCACTCGCCGTGTTTGGAGGAAGAAGAAGGACGAGTACAACCCCAAGAACACCATCCCAACCGTGAAGCATGGAGGTGGAAACATCATTCTTTGGGGATTCTTTTCTGCAAAGGGGACAGGACGACTGCACCGTATTGAGGGGAGGATGGATGGGGCCATGTATCGCGAGATCTTGGCCAACAACCTCCTTCCCTCAGTAAGAGCATTGAAGATGGGTCGTGGCTTGGTCTTCCAGCATGATAACGACCCGAAACACACAGCCAGGGCAACTAAGGAGTGGCTCCGTAAGAAGCATCTCAAGGTCCTGGAGTGGCCTAGCCAGTCTCCAGACCTGAACCCAATAGAAAATCTTTGGAGGGAGCTGAAAGTCTGTATTGCCCAGCGACAGCCCCGAAACCTGAAGGATCTGGAGAAGTTCTGTATGGAGGAGTGGGCCAAAATCCCTGCTGCGGTGTGTGCAAACCTGGTCAAGACCTACAGGAAACGTATGATCTCTGTAATTGCAAACAAAGGTTTCTGTACCAAATATTAAGTTCTGCTTTTCTGATGTATCAAATACTTATGTCATGCAATAAAATGCAATTCATTACTTAAAAATCATACAATGTGATTTTCTGGATTTTTGTTTTAGATTCCGTCTCTCACAGTTGAAGTGTACCTATGATAAAAATTACAGACCTCTACATGCTTTGTAAGTAGGAAAACCTGCAAAATCGGCAGTGTATCAAATACTTGTTCTCCCAACTGTATATTATTGCCTATATCAACCTAAGGCATGCGGTCACAGCCTCTTCTCTGTCCAGGCTCCAATCACACCTAGCGCGAGGAGGGTCACTGTTTTTAATTAACTATGACTCCAAATAAAAGCTTCCATATCCGAATCCGCTACACTTTATCCGAGTTGAGCTCAAGACCGGCGCCAGATAGGCCTATTGCAGCACGAGGGATTTTATTCCAATAAACTCCACTATTGGCAACAGACAGGGTAGATATAGCCCGTTAAACTCAGATAAGAACAGAATATTGAAGTTCTCTTGATGAATTCCCCCAATTTTATATTTCAAGAATTTAGAGGAAGCCCATGTAGAAATGAAGAACTGTCCATGGTTCTGATTTCACTGTAGTTGCACGAGGCGCTGTCCACGGTGCTGATTTTCTCGCCTGTCATTATGAAGTGGGGAAGTTTATATGCGCCCAACATCGAAATAAATGTACTAACCTTATACCTGCCTACTGAATCCACAGTGTGTGTCAAGTAACAATCAACTCATCATGCCAACTAGTGTCTGTCAAGTAACAATCAACTCATCATGCCAACTACATTTCATAAACAATATTTTTTCACTGACTCAGATTTAGAATGATTGGCCGAGATTAAACAGGTTTAGAAAGTCCTGCATTGAAAGCTGTTTATAGTCCTCATGGCTCGACTTTAATTCAGGACCCCCAAACATTCGTAATCTCTGTCTTGACTTAATGAAAGTTAAACCTCTTAGAATGTTATGCACTGGACAGACAATTTACTGTGCTGTCTGGCCTGTTAATACCATGGGGCTTAACGCCAGTCCAGCCACCTGTTAGTCACCTTCTGACCCCTCACATTATAACTTTCTCTGGCTCTCTAGTAGGCATTTTGTATCACTGTGCAAACTGCCCCACAGTCAGTTGTGTCCAATTGTGAATAGTCTTATGTGATTGGCTCTTTCTCATGTCATTTTATTATGGAATAACTCCTGTATTTCAGGTCAACATCTGAACCTACCTGTACCTTAAAGCTACTCTAATTGTTAGAACAATTCCCATTGTTAGATGATAAACATGAAAACTTCCAAGTGGGTTACACTTCACTAAAGACTGTGACTGGATGGTTAGGGTTAGTTTGGGACAAACACGTAGAGTATGACATGAGGCAGGGCCAATCATTTCAGTGCGAATTCCATCATCCCCACCAGCGGCATGTACCTTTTCAACCTCTATATTCTCTACTGTTTAAATAAGCAGGATTACCCCTAACTCACTCAGTTAATTATCAAAGTGATTATATATATATATGTATATATATATATATATATATATATATATATATATATATATATATATATATATATATATATATATAGTATTATAGACTATATACACTACCGGTCAAAAGTTTTAGAACACCTACTCATTCAAGTGTTTTTCTTTATTTTAACGATTTTCTACATTGTATTTTTTCACTGACTCAGATTTAGAATGATTGGCCGAGATTATATATATATATATATATATATATATATATATATATATATATATAGAGAGAGAGAGTATTATATTATAGACTATATACACTACCGGTCAAAAAAAGTGTTTTTCTTTATTTTTACGCTTTTCTACATTGTAGAATAATAGTGAAGACATCAAAACTATGAAATAACACACATGGAATCATGTAGTAACCAAAAAAGTGTTAAACAAATCAAAATATATTTTATATTTGAGATTCTTCAAATAGCCACCCTTTGCCTTGATGACAGCTTTGCACACTCTTGGCATTCTCTCAACCAGCTTCACCTGGAATGCTTTTCCAACAGTCTTGAAGGAGTTCCCACATATGCTGAGCACTTGTTGGCTGCTTTCCTTCACTCTGTGGTCCGACTCATCCCAAACCATCTCAATTTGGTTGAGGTCAGGGGATTGTGGAGGCCAGGTCATCTGATGCAGCACTCCATCCCTCTCCGTCTTGGTAAAATAGCCCTTACACAGCATGGAGGTGTGTTGGGTCATTGTCCTGTTGAAAAACAAATGATAGTCCCACTAAGCCCAAACCAGATGGGATGGCGTATCGCTGCAGAATGCTGTGGTAGTCATGCTGGTTAAGTGTGCCTTGAATTCGAAATAAATCACAGACAGTGTCACCAGCAAAGCACCCCCACACCATAACACCTCCTCCATGCTTTACGGTGGGAACTACACATGCGGAGATCATCCGTTCACCCACACCGCGTCTCACAAAGACACAGCGGTTGGAACCAAATATCTCCAATTTGGACCAGACCAAAGGACAAATATCCACTGGTCTAATGTCCAATGCTCATGTTTCTTGGCCCAAGCAAGTCTCTTCTTATTATGTGTGTCCTTTAGTAGCGGTTTCTTTGCAGGAATTTGACCATGAAGGCCTGATTCACACAGTCTCCTCTGAACAGTTGATGTTGAGATGTGTCGGTTACTTGAACTCTGTGAAGCATTTATTTGGGCTGCAATTTCTGAGGCTGGTAACTCTAATGAACGTATCCTCTGCAGCAGAGGTAACTCTGGGTCTTCCATTCCTGTGGCAGTCCTCATGAGAGCCAGTTTCATCATAGCGCTTGTTGGTTTTTGCGACTGCACTTGAATAAACTTTCAGTTCAAAGTTATTGAAATGTTACTTTCATGTCTTACAGTAATGATGGACTGTCATTTCTCTTTGCTTATTTGAGCTGTTCTTGCCATAATATGGACTTGGTCTTTAACCAAATAGGGCTATCTTCTGTATACCACCCCTACCTTGTCACAACACAACTGATTGGCTGAAACGAATAAAGAAGGAAAGAAATTCCACACATTAACTTTTAATGGTCCTCCTTTTAGAGGTCCTCTGTAGCTCAGCTGGTAGAGCACGGCGCTTGTAACGCCAAGGTAGTGGGTTCGATCCCCGGGACCACCCATACACAAAAAATGTATGCACGCATGACTGTAAGTCGCTTTGGATAAAAGCGTCTGCTAAATGGCATATTATTATTATTATTATTATTATAAGAAGGCACACCTGTTAATTGAAATGCATTCCAGGTGACTACCTCATGAAGCTGGTTGAGAGAATGCCAAGAGTGTGCAAAGCTGTCATCAAGGCAAAGGGTGAATCTCAAATATAAAATATATTTAGATTTGTTTAACACTTTTTTGGTTACTACATGATTCCATATGTGTTATTTCATAGTTTTGATGTCTTCACTATTATTCTACTATGTAGAAAATAGTAAAAATAAAGAAAATCCCTTGAATGAGTAAGTGTTCTAAAACATTTGACCGGTAGTGTATACGGTAGTCAGGAGAAAGGAGCGGGATTCCCATAGAATTACATATATACTGTAACTATTTAAATTGTAATTTAATAGGATCTCTGTGGGGATTCCTCTGACTTAGAGATGCATTTGATAATAACTTGTTTAGAACAAGAGTAGGCCAGAGACTAAATATAGCAGCTGCTAACACAGTGTACCAGCCAGGACAACACAGTGTTTCTGTTTATCATGGTTTATTTCATCCATTATGTGGTGGTATTACTGTAGTTAAGAAATAACCTGGATAAGCAAATCTGAGCCACAACAACACATAATAGATGGGAGGAGGCTGAAATGGGAAAGAACGGTCTCTTCATCTATATTCAAATGAGCGTCCAAGATTATCATAAGACAACAGAATCAAAACCGTAAAAAAAGTATTATCTTGTGAAAATGATTACAGTAAGTAAATACACTGAATAGTCATTTGTAAGTCGCTCTGGATAAGAGCGTCTGCTAAATGACTTAAATGTTAAGTGTTAATTGTATTTAATGATACTTGACTCATTGACCCCTCACTCTCTCTCTCTCACACACACACACACACACACACACACACACACACACGCACGCACGCACACACACACAGCTTTGTTATAGGTCCATTGTAAGTTAAGATAAGGAAGGCTGGACAGGTCAGATCAATCAGGAGAGGATAGTGACCTGCAGTTCCCCTCTCTCACACACCTATTAGTCTGAGGCTGACACTTTCAACTTTCACTGACCCTGTGTGTGTCCATGTGTGTGTGTGTGCGTGTGTCAGAGAGGGTTTGTCTGTGTCCATGTGTACGTGTGTGAGAGAGAGTTTGTTTGTGTCCATGTGTTTGTGAAAGAGAGTTTGTGTGTGTCCATGTGTGTGTGTGTGTGTGAGAGAGAGTTTGTGTGTGTGTCCGTGTGTGTGTGTGTGAGAGAGAGTTTGTGTGTGTCCGTGTATGACAGCATGGCAGGGACAGCAGAAAAGCTTAGGTGATCAGACATTTCCCAGAAAGCCCCTCTCTGGAGTGACACTCGTTTTCGTCAGGGATGTCAGGGAAGGAAATCGGGATCCGGGGAAGATAAAAATTCCTATCACCTTGACTGGAGTAATTTAACACACACATTCCTGTGAGGGCACTTGCAATTTGTGAGAGACAACTTGTCCTGGCGCCTCTACAATCAGGAGTAAAGTGGGATCAAGGATCCCCACCTGAGGGAATTACTCTTTGTTAAATCGGGATCTGTGGGACTTTACATCACACGATTTAGAACACCTAATCTCAGATAGAGATGTCACTCTCTGTGTCTCAGTCTGTACACCCTTTCGCTCCCCTCAGAGTGGTGTGGGCTCTGAGAGACTCTTAAGAGAGTGTGAGAGACCTTGTGTTGGAGTGTGTGGTGTGGAGGCTCTTACTACCTCTAAGAGAGTGTGACAGCCTGTGTGGTGTGTGCTTGTGGTCATTCTATACACATGATGCAGCTCCCAGCCTCTCTCTCCAACACTTCGTCCTACCTGGGACCGCCCCCCGAGGGCGAGGAGCTCCTGCCCCGAGCTGGCTTCATCACCCTCTCCATCGTCATGGCGATGTTTACCGTACCAGCCATTGTGTTGAACTCCACGGTGATAGTGGTGTCGCTGATGAACAAGCAGCTGAGGCAACCTCTGAACTACGCCCTGGTCAACATGGCCGTAGCTGACCTGGGGACAGCGCTGACCGGTGGGGTTCTGTCTGTGGTCAACAACGCTCTGGGGTACTTCTCCCTGGGACGGACCGGCTGTGTCATGGAGGGATTCTCTGTGGCTCTGTTTGGTGAGTGGCTCTCAGAACTGTCTCTGGGACATACTTTGTAAGTTGTTTTACATACACATAGACATTAATGACAATCACTCCTTCTCTACAAATATGGCCTTACTGTAAAGTGTACATTTGAAAATACATGTACTGTATTAAAAGTCTATAAATGCTTCAAAGAGTACGATTGTATTGTTCACTTATTACATAATATTTTATAATATGGAACCATTGATTTAGTTTCAATTGAATTAGTTTCTTATGGCCATCTAGTTGAATCATTATTTTGAATCAATCAAAATTCTTAATTAATTAATTAAAAATAGTTATCATGATGATTCTGTCATGCTAATCAGTCAATGCAATCTTACGAGTACATCTTCAGGCAACGCTATCTGTAATTACTGTACCTTTAATTACAACAACAATATAATTTGCAAACTAAACTCAGCAAAAAAAGAAACGTCCTCTCACTGTCAACTGCATTTATTTTCAGCAAACTTAACATGTGTAAATATTTGTATGAACATAACAAGATTCAACAACTACATTTTACATTTTAGTCATTTAGCAGACGCTCTTATCCAGAGCGACTTACAGTTAGTGAGTGCATACATTTTTCATACTGGCCCCCCGTGGGAATCGAACCCACAACCCTGGCGTTGCAAGCGCCATGCGCCATGCTCTACCAACTGAGCTACAGGAGGCCCAACTGAGACATAAACTGAACAAGTTCCACAGACATGTGACTAACAGAAATTGAATAATGTGTCCTTGAACAAAGGGGGCGGCAAAATCAAAAGTAACAGTCAGAATCTGGTGTGGCCACCAGCTGCATTAAGTACTGCAGTGCATCTCCTCCTCATGGACTGCACCAGATTTGCCAGTTCTTGCTGTGAGATGTTACCCCACTCTTCCACCAAGGCACCTGCAAGTTCCCGGACATTTCAGGGGGGAATGGCCCTAGCCCTCACCCTCCGATCCAACAGGTCCCAGACGTGCTCAATTGGATTGAGATCCGGGCTCTTCGCTGGCCATGGCAGGACACTGACATTCCTGTCTTGCAGGAAATCACACACAGAATGAGCAGTATGGCTGGTGACATTGTCATGCTGGAGGGTCATGTCAGGATGAGCCTGCAGGAAGGGTACCACATGAGGGAGGAGGATGTCTTCCCTGTAACACACAGCGTTGAGATTGCCTGCAATGACAACAAGCTCAGTCCGATGATGCTGTGACACACCGCCCCAGACCATGACGGACCCTCCACCTCCAAATCGATCCCGCTCCAGAGTACAGGCCTCGGTGTAACGCTCATTCCTTTGACGATAAACGCGAATCCGACCATCACCCCTGGTGAGACAAAACCGTGACTCGTCAGTGAAGAGCACTTTATGCCGGTCCTGTCTGGTCCAGTGACGGTGGGTTTGTGCCCATAGGCGACGTTGTTGCCGGTGATGTCTGGTGAGGACCTGCCTTACAACAGGCCTACAAGCCCTCAGTCCAGCCTCTCTCAGCCTATTGCGGACCGTCTGAGCACTGATGGAGGGATTGTGCATTCCTGGTGTAACTCGGGCAGTTGTTGTTGCTATCCTGTACCTGTCCCGCAGGTGTGATGTTTGGATGTACCGATCCTGTGCAGGTGTTGTTACACGTGGTCTGCCACTGCGAGGACGATCAGCTGTCCGTCCTGTCTCCCTGTAGCGCTGTCTTAGGCATCTCACAGTACGGACATTGCAATTTATTGCCCTGGCCACATCTGCAGTCCTCATGCCTCCTTGCAGCATGCCTAAGGCATGTTCACGCAGATGAGCAGGGACCCTGGGTATCTTACTTTTGGTGTTTTTCAGAGTCAGTAGAAAGGCCTCTTTATTGTCCTAAGTTTTCATAACTGTGACCTTAATTGCCTACTGTCTGTAAGCTGTTAGTGTCTTAACGACCGTTCCACAGGTGCATGTTCATTAATTGTTTATGGTTCATTGAACAAGCATGGGAAACAGAGTTTAAACCCTTTACAATGAAGATCTGTGAAGTTATTTGGATTTTTAAGAATTACCTTTGAAAGACAGGGTCCTGAAAAAGGGACGTTTCTTTTTTTGCTGAGTTTAGCTTTACGATGAGGCTCTGTGGAGCACTGTATGACTGCTGTACTGTACTGTCTGGCTGGTGTGTACTGCAGGTATCACATCACTGTGCACGGTAGCTCTGATTGCCATAGAGAGAATGTTTGTGGTGAGCAAGCCACTAGGACCAATCTCCTTCCAGACCAAGCATGCGGTTGGGGGTGTGGCCTTGTCATGGGTGTGGTCTCTCATCTGGAACATCCCGCCCCTATTCGGCTGGGGAAGGTACTGTAATGACATCACATGAATCCGCCACACTGGCATGTACTGATGACGTATCATGTAATGAGACCAGACAGATTATAATAGTAAACCATGGCTAAACTTCACTTCCCTTACGAACCCACGCATGACAGGTACGAACTGGAGGGCGTCGGGACGTCGTGCGCCCCAGACTGGCACAACCGTGACCCCAATAATGTGTCCTATATCCTGTGCTACTTCCTGCTGTGTTTCGCCGTGCCCTTCCTCATCATCGTAGCCTCTTACTCAAAACTCATATACACCTTAAGACAGGTAGGTCCACTCAATGTGTAGTTTACATGCCCGGCCCTAAAGGTGTGTCTGCTCAGACAGCGTCTGTGCCAGTCCTGTAGTGTGTATCATAATTAGGGCCAATCAGGAGTTTTTCCTGATCTCGAGACCTGACCCGGAAAAATTCAGCCTGGAGTTTGGAGTTGTTCCTGGTCAGGTTATATGGTCAGGAAAAAATCCTAGCCCAAGACATATGCTCTGTATGACCACATATTGTCTGTGTCATGTATTCGGCAAGTCTTCCATACTGTACTATCCATATTCCACTACTTGGCTGTGTTGTTGTTGTTGCAGGTCTCTACAATGGGCTGTATAGAAGGGGGTGCAGCAGCCAAGGCGGAGGCTAAGGTGGCCCGCATGGTGGTTCTGATGGTGGTTACTTTCCTGATCAGCTGGCTGCCCTACGCTACCCTGGCCCTCGTGGTGGTCTCCCACCCTGATGCCCACATCAGCCCTCTGCTGGGCACCATGCCAGTCTACCTGGCCAAGAGCAGCACCCTGTACAACCCTCTCATCTACCTCTACATGAACAAACAGGTATACTTATCAATCTACCTCTACATGAACAAACAGGTACATTTATAAATCTACCTCTACACAAACAAACAGGTACACTTATAAATCTACCTCTACATGAACAAACAGGTATACTTATCAATCTACCTCTACATGAACAAACAGGTATACTTATCAATCTACCTCTACATGAACATCAGGTATACTTATAAATCTACCTCTACATGAACAAACAGGTACACTTATAAATCTACCTCTACATGAACAAACAGGTATACTTATCAATCTACCTCTACATGAACAAACAGGTATACTTATAAATCTACCTCTACATTAACAAACAGGTACACTTATAAATCTACCTCTATATGAACAAACAGGTATACTTATCAATCTACCTCTACATGAACAAACAGGTATACTTATCAATCTACCTCTACATTAAAAAACAGGTACACATATAAATCTACCTCTACATGAACAAACAGGTACCCATACATACAGTACATCTTCTATTCATCTACACTTGTGTATAGAGGGGTTGGTTGTTTAGCAACAAAACCAACCCACATTTTTGCCATATTAGCATAGACCTGACATCAGTCAAAACACCTCAAAACAAGACATGGTATCAAGAACAAGATCAAACGAGCTGAAACGAGCCACTTACGATTCCCCACATGGCAGTTTCTTGTTATTGTTGCTAGCTATCTGGCCATTCAGAACCATAACAACACATGTCCTTATGCCCCTTTGAAGTGAGCGCATCGTTTTCGTGACGTCAGCGAACCAGTCAATAGAACACTTCGTTTGTATAGAAAACAAGATCAGATATAGGAAGCAAAAAATTTTAAGGATGATAATAAGCCTATACATGTGATAGCAGATAAAGTTAGACACTAATCTGTAGAATGACCACTGCAACGCGTTTACCACAAACCAGACACTCGTTAGCAGTCCAAAGACTCCATCTAGTGGAGAAAAATTAGAACGTCATTTCAGTCACCATTAGCTCAGGTCATGCTGATGTCCGGTGGTAGAACATTGTCTCACTGCGACTTAATCTCATACAATTTTGCGATTGATCAGCCGCTGTTTACCATGCACAGTTGTTCTAAACATTGTTATAAACATTGAAGCCATTTGATATACAACAAAATGCATGTCACAGTAACAGTGTGTGATGATGGTGTTGTGTCTTGTCCAGTTCCGTAGATATGCAGTGCCCTTCCTGCTGTGTGGGAGGGACCCATGGCCTTCTGAGGAGGAGGGGTCAGAGATGCAGACCACTGTGGCAACCATCAACAACAAAGTCTCCCCCAGTTGAACACATACAGGCATTTAGATAAATCCACTGATGGCACCAGCAGCACCAATAAAGTGTCACTCATATTATGTTCTATGCCTTTTTAAATACATGAATGAAATATACCTCTTAGTTTGTAAGAATATGACTTATTCATACCTTAATAAGGAGATTTGTATAACTTTCTTACCTTGTCATAACCCAAAAAACTTTACAGAGTATGATTTTAATACTACATTCAGAATGGGATGAGAGCCAGCTTTAAAACTGGCTGATCGCAGAGTATGTTACCTACAGTAGGTTACAGAAGGTATATTAACTGTGGAATGTGTTGTTACTTTATGGTAAATGTAAAAGACTATGAAAATGCTGTTCAATACATAATGCATGACTTCTCTATAAACAAAGCACCAATAATGAACATACAGTGCAGAATTTCAGTGTAAGTTTATTCAGTAATAATCATTAGAAAATAAAATATAATTATTGATTAAAATGAATTCAAGGCCAACGCCCCCCCCCCCCCCCCCCCCCCCCCCCCAAAAAAAAAGAAGAAAAAATATGTCTTGATACAAAACCTAGAGGGTCATAATAAAGCATTTGCTACTAAGAGAAATCATGTTTACTGAATAAAAACATTACAGAGCAAATATCAGGACTTTCAAGTAGAGAACATTACCATGGGTCTTTCCATATGTTTGTACATATTTTACATTATCTTCTATTTTAATACATATGTAATAACAGTAATAGTAGTAATAGTAATCATAATAATAATTATAATAATAGAATGAAAACTAATCAAAATGTTTAAATCAACAAGGGTTTCTCTGTAAACTGGTATATTACCACTGGATGTATCTTTTTTTAACCTGCAAACAGAGGAACAGTGCACCTTGAAAATGTATATATTTTTCTTCATTTTTTTCATATTCTTTCTGTCCCAGCATTGAAAGGTGAGGTGTAAATGACAAATATAGATTTCACTAAACCATACACACAGTCACAAAAAAGTACAAAATTGTCTCACCTTAATACACAAAAATGTGTATAGAAAAAGGAGAAACAATAGCACTATACAGTTACTTGTGCAAAGACAAACAGCTATGTGCTAATATTTAAATACCATTGGTATAGAATGAACCAAATAATTTTCTCTTTTCTTTTTTCAGGAATCCCTGACATGAGGTAAAAGTATGTTTGTTTTATCTTTAGTTTAACACAACCTTTTTAAAAGTGTTTACAAAATAATGCATATTTTCAGTTTATCAGTAATTGCTACGAATAGTACAATGTGCCTGGAATGCGCATTGGTCCTTTCACAAGATAATTATCAACAAAAAGACCAGAACACATTTTTTTTTTTTACTTAAACAATTCAAAGAGCCCTTTCAATGTGCACACAAAGTGGAAAACCTACATTTTCACGACAGTATTCGGTTGACTGAGAACGCAATGCGAACTCATGAACTACAAATCAAACACTCATGAACTACAGATCTGATCACCTACCCATCATGTGCTTATTCAAACTATCCAGGGCAGCGCCTGAAAAAGAAGTGAACTTCGTATTAAATTTTTTGTCTGTTAGTGTAAAGTAATTTTGTGGTGCATCAATTTTCAACTTGCGTCGATAGCAACAAAAGTGGAGTTTTCTCGTAATAGGAGCCGTAGTACAAATGCTCCCTTCTCATTAGACGGAGAAGCTGGCTGTGGGAAACAGACTGGTTGGTTGAGAGGGAGGCTGATATGTTTTCCCCAGACGATGCTGGACCACTACGAGGTATAGTGTATGAAGAGAGAAGCCAGAGCGGCTGAGAGAGTGAGGGGGTTAGTATTGCTTAGCCTCTCTCCAGCTAAAACACTTCAGGCCCAATATGACACGACAACACAACAGAAGAGGACAACAATGGTGGAGACTGTGGACCCACCTAGACCATGATGATACCTAGCCTGGTCCCAGATCTGTTTGTGCTTTTGCCTACTCCATTGTCATTGTCATGTTTTGCATGACAATTCTGTAAGGAGTTGGCAAGAGAGCAGAACCCGACTGGCACCCAGGCTAGATGCAGCCTCACCACGTGAGCTCATCTGTCCTGTCAACATCCCTGATGAATACGTGCCTCACCAATCAGCCACCATGCATCCCCTGTCTGTCCTGGCTCACACAGGCTCAGTTTGTCACAAGCCTCGCACACAACAACAACAACAACATAAAGGCCAAGTGATTAGGAAGATTCAGTTTGAAAGGACCAGTGGAATTAACTTACATTAATCGTGATCAACAAGTCATATATTGAGGAAAAAATCCAATAAAAGCATTGAGAACGACAGGGAGATTTCTGTTCATCTCACTTCTATCATATTGTTTTCTTTCAGCAGCAAGAAGGCAGTTCAGTTGGGACAGATGAAACTAATAAAGTTGTAGAATTCATTTCAAAATGGGCGAATGAAGCAGCATTGTCAATGCACTAGGCATTTTACCTTCATGTGCTGTGCACCTGCCCTGCACAACATATGCAAACACAAAAGGTTAGTATCACATCTTTATAAAGGTAGAATAGCCTCCTTGAGCCTTAGCTAATGTCAAGTCCTACAAATATGATCTTAATAAGGGGGGACTTAACTTTGTGGTACTGGTGTTGGTGTGGTTGGAGTAACACATACAGTGTGGGAAAAAAGGATTTGATCCCCTGCTGATTTTGTACGTTTGCCCACTGACAAAGACATGATCAGTCTATAATTTTAATGGTAGGTTTATTTGAACAGTGAGAGACAGAATAACAACAAAAAAATCCAGAATAACGCATGTCAAAAATGTTATAAATTGATTTGCATTTTAATGAGGGAAATAAGTATTTGACCCCCTCTCAATCAGAACGATTTCTGGCTCCCAGGTGTCTTTTATACAGGTAACGAGCTGAGATTCGGAGCACACTTTTAAAGGGAGTGCTCCTAATCTCAGCTTGTTACCTGTATAAAATACATATGTCCACAGAAGCAATCAATCAATCAGATTCCAAACTCTCCACCATGGCCAAGACCAAAGAGCTCTCCAAGGATGTCAGGGACAATATTGTAGACCTACACAAGGCTGGAATGGGCTACAAGACCATCGCCAATCAGCTTGGTGAGAAGGTGACAACAGTTGGTGCGATTATTCGCAAATGGAAGAAACACAAAAGACCTGTCAATCTGCCTCGGTCTGGGGCTCCATGCAAGATCTCACCTAGTGGAGTGGCAATGATCATGAGAACGGTGAGGAATCAGCCCAGAACTACACGGGAGGATCTTGCCAATGATCTCAAGGCAGCTGGGACCATAGTTACCAAGAAAACATCTGGTAACACACTACGCCGTGAAGGACTGAAATCCTGCAGCGCCCGCAAGGTCCCCCTGCTCAAGAAAGCACATATACAGGCCCGTCTGAAGTCTGCCAATGAACATCTGAATGATTCAGAGGAGAACTGGGTGAAAGTGTTATGGTCAGATGAGACCAAAATCGAGCTCTTTGGCATCAACTCAACTCGCCGTGTTTGGAGGAGGAATGCTGCCTATGACCCCAAGAACACCATCCCCACCGTCAAACATGGAGGTGGAAACATCATGCTTTGGGGGTGTTTTTCTGCTAAGGGGACAGGACAACTTCACCGCATCAAAGGGACGATGGACGGGGCCATGTACCGTCAAATCTTGGCTGAGAACCTCCTTCCCTCAGCCAGGGCATTGAAAATGGGTTGTGGATGGGTATTCCAGCATGACAATGACCCAAAACACACAGCCAAGGCAACAAAGGAGTAGCTCAAGAAGAAGCACATTAAGGTCCTGGAGTGGCCTAGCCAGTCTCGAGACCTTAATCCCATAGAAAATCTGTGGAGGGAGCTGAAGGTTCGAGGTGCCAAACGTCAGCCTCGAAACCTTAATGACTTGGAGAAGATCTGCAAATAGGAGTGGGACAAAATCCCTCCTGAGATGTGTGCAAACCTGGTGGCCAACTACAAGAAACGTCTGACCTCTGTGATTGCCAACAAGGGTTTTGCCACCAAGTACTAAGTCATGTTTTGCAGAGGGGTCAAATACTTATTTCCCTCATTAAAATGCAAATCAATTTATAACATTTTTGACATGCTTTTTTCTGGATTTTTTTGTTGTTATTCTGTCTCTCACTGTTCAAATAAACCTACCATTAAACGTATAGACTGATCATGTCTTTGTCAGTGGGCAAACGTACAAAATCAGCAGGGGATCAAATACTTTATTCCCTCACTGTATACAGTGTTCTTATGCTCATAAAACAAGTAAAAAAACAAATACATTTGCATATCTTGTGCAGCTGTGTTGTTACACGAAAAACAAAACAATTAAAAAAAGCTGTTCACAGACAAGTCAAGGATGCATATGAGCAACAACAAAGAAAAGGCAAATAAATGTCAGAATATTGTCCCTAATAAAATATAACACCAGCGATCTTCTTTCCTGGTAGCATAATAGGATTCATTAGGGTGTGTATTGCTGATCTTCTTTTGAAATGGTACACAATTACAAAATATAGAACATCTCTTTACAAAGTTTTTCTTTTTGTTTATATAATACAATTCATTTACAGTATATCTACTATGAAATATTCATCATCAGGCTGTTGTCAAATTAAAAACAACCTGCCTGCTAGTGCATGTATTCCATGCTGTAGTAGTCGTCTCAGAAGTGTATATCTCCAGTTTGATGATGCTATAAATGTGACTGATATCTCCTGCATACGTAAACTGGTTATTCTCTAAGAATCTGTTAGTTGTGACCCATCTACAACGATCTTTAATTATTTATGTCAATGATTCCTGGATCAAAGTTATACTAAATCATCTAAGGGGGGTTAGGTGGGGGGAGATATGCCTTTCTATGCTTGCATTGAAAACTTGCATGATATGCCAAAATCTTAATAAAGTGACAGAGGGAATGACATCTTACATCTGATTGTCATCACCCTTAACGACCTGCCCCCTGGTACCTCACGCCTCTGCCAA